AGAATTCCCGTCTTCGTCCCAATTTAATATTAATTTAACTTCAGAAATGTTTTCGAATTAATCGTTAATCGCACTGTTGAATCGAGGGCAAAATTAAAAATACCTAAAAAAAAAAAAAAAAAGACGAACGAAATTAACATAAAAGAAAAAAAAATCTATTCGTTCGTAAAGATAAAACTTGCATAAAACTTAAAAATTACACGGCAAACTTTCTATACATACGTACAACATAATAATATCACGGAGGTGTCAAATTGAAAGTCAGTTCATAGTTTAAAAATTCGCTCGCTCGCTCACCCTAAGGTATATAATAAAGCAACAACAACCATACATCATCCCTATCCACCCCGAAAAAACTCGATAAATGGAAATTTCGAATTACGCCACTATTTCCTGTGTAAACGATACCCCGTGCATCGTGCACAAGCACGATGGAACGAAGGTTTATAAGAACGAATTATTCCGCGTTTCTTCGGGGAGAGAAACGGGCAGAGTTTTTACCCCGACGAAAGAATCATAGTCGGGGGTTGGCCGAGGAAATGGCGGATGTAGGGGAGGGGGAAAATACGGGGTAAGTTTCCGTGACGTGTAAATCACGCTTTACCGAGAGCTTTTGAGTCTGGCAGCAAGGTTCGTTGAAAAGTTAACAGGCCGAGGAATGAGTGGGGCCGTGTCCCCTCCCCTCCCCTCTTTCTCCTCTCCGATCCCGCGCTCGTGGCACCGCCCGCTTTTACTTAATGCCTTCTCTCCTCCCCTCCCGCTTCTTCTTTCGAAGGTGTTAAGTAACGAGCTTGTTGTATATGAATGCCACCGGCAAAAACGAAGCAATTCTCACCGGTCATTCCCTTCCCTCTCTCTCTCTCTCTCTCTCAATTTTTTACTTCTCTCTCTCTCTCCCTTCTCTCTTCTTTTCCTTTTCTTTTCGTTTCGAGTCCCCATGGACGGAGTCTTTTCGTTTCCAGTTTCTTTAAAAACAATATGGAATGGGATATGTACGAGTACACTTGAGTTTTAAAGAGTTTACTTTTCTTCTTTTTTAAAAAAAAAAACAATTGTTTATGAGAGAGACAGGGGATTAAAATTGGTTTAATTTTTTTGAAGACATTGAGAGCTACGATTAAATATTTTTAATGATCGTAGATGTTTCAAAATGGTTGAAATAACGATTTGGCTCAGGTCCGTGGGTACGCCACCACCCAAGGGACTCGCGAAAGCGGGCACGAGGCCCGTCGGTCCCCCTTGCGGAAAATGAACGCATTGATCGAGAAAACGACCGACTCTGAAAAATTCTCCCTTCGCGTGTAAAGGGAAAACCTCCCTTTATAAACCTCCCTCGATTTTAAAAAATGACACGAAACTAAATCTACTAAATCTAATCAATGACGAAAACTAAATCTACAGAATATCTACAGAAAGAAAATTGGGAAAAGGGAAGCGGAAGAAGTCATTTAACGAAGCTTCTTTCTCGCAGAAGTCCAAATATTTATGCGACCCGAAATATTTTAGCCGTAAAGGTCTGAAAAGGCGAGAGTAGCGCGGGAGACGAAATTCCAGTTGCACTCCCAGAATGCCCCGGCGACGACTTGCACGCTCCGGTTTCCGGGATTCCAGCTGCGCCTCCTTTATTCGGAATTCATCGGATCTCGAATACTTTTCGTCCAGGAGATCCTTTGGAAATCCCATGTGCGCGGCACAAGAATGTTTCCCTCCCCCTCTCCCTTCCGTTTGATCCGTGGCCAGAGCCCCGGAAAAATGCTCGATTCCAAAGGACTCGCGGTGCGCTCGCGTGTCCCTCCCCCTCCCCCTTCATCCACCATCTACACACATCTCTATTCCTCTGTAAATTTTCTCGCGTGTCCTTTTACGAAGAATGGGATGGATCTGCCCTATCCTTTGACACTCCTTCCTTCAAACGAGGACGTTCGATGTATATATATGATGTCTTTGCCCCGTTTCAGAATCAAGCGGTCTCGTTTCATTGTTTATATGAATATAAATACGAGTTTTTCGTTTTTAATATTCGGAGGAGATTGGATCGAATCGGTAAAAAATAGAAACGACGTGAAGAATTTATATATTGATGATAAACAAAATTCCAAGAAACGAATATTTCGAATTATTTCGATGAAATATTTGTGAATGTAATTTCGAAAAGTTCGATTTTTATTTCACAAAATGAAATTCTAATTGAGCAACGATCGAATAATAAATAAAATATTTCGACTATTCGAAAAATTCTACATCTAAGCATAATATTAGTGACTCTAACAATATCGAAGTTTTAGGAAAAATGGATGCATAGGATCTATCCTCTGATACTCTTCCTTCAAATGAATATGTTCGATGTATGTATGATGTCTTTGTCCCGTTTCAGAATCAAGCGGTTTCGTTTCATTGTTTATATGAATATAAAACGAGTTTTTTGTTTTTAATATTCGGAGGAGATTGGATCGAATCGATCCTGGATGGTGAAAAATAGAAACGACGTGAAGAATTTATATACTGATGATAAACAAAATTCCAAGAAACGAATATTTCGAATTATTTCGATAAAATATTTGTGAATGTAATTTGGAAAAGTTCGAAAGGATTTTTATTTCACAAATGAAATTATAATTGAGCAACGATCGAATAATAAATAAAATATTTCGAATATTCGAAAAATTCTACATCTAAGCATAATATTGGTGACTCTAACAATAATATCGAATAATATCGAAGTTTTACGAAAAATGGATGGATCTGCCTTGATAACAACATGACAAAATTCCAAGAAACGAATATTTCGAATTATTTCGATAAAATATTTGTGAATGTAATTTCGAAAAGTTCAAAANACGAGTTTTTTGTTTTTAATATTCGGAGGAGATTGGATCGAATCGATCCTGGATGGTGAAAAATAGAAACGACGTGAAGAATTTATATACTGATGATAAACAAAATTCCAAGAAACGAATATTTCGAATTATTTCGATAAAATATTTGTGAATGTAATTTCGAAAAGTTCAAAAGGATTTTTATTTCACAAATGAAATTATAATTGAGCAACGATCGAATAATAAATAAAATATTTCGAATATTCGAAAAATTCTACATCTAAGCATAATATTGGTGACTCTAACAATAATATCGAATAATATCGAAGTTTTACGAAAAATGGATGGATCTGCCTTGATAACAACATGACAAAATTCCAAGAAACGAATATTTCGAATTATTTCGATAAAATATTTGTGAATGTAATTTCGAAAAGTTCAAAAGGATTTTTATTTCACAAATGAAATTCTAATTGAGCAACGATCGAATAATAAATAAAATATTTCGAATATTCGAAAAATTCTACATCTAAGCATAATATTGGTGACTCTAACAATAATATCGAAGTTTTACGAAAAAATGGATGGATCTCCCTTGATGATAAACAAAATTCCAAGAAATATTTCGAATTATTTCGATGAAATATTTGTGAACAAACGTAATTTCGAAAAATTCGAAAGGAATTTTTATTTCACAAAATCAGACGTTCAAATTCTAATTAAACAACGATCGTTAATAAATATTCGAAAAATTCTACATCTGAGAATAATACTGGTGGACTCCAACAACAATATCGAAAATTCGTGCATCGACAAGCGAATATGGAAAATAGAAATGGCGAGTATTGGGGAAGTTAGAAAGCATCGACGCGTACGAATCTATATTTGCCTTATACGAGCATTGGAGGGGGAGGGAATGGTCCTTACCGGAGATATCCTCAATTACTAATCATCAAAGGGATTTAGGAGGAAGGCCAGATTAGTTTAGGCATCTTGTAGCATCAACCGGTTAGATGGAATCGGTAGAGAGAGATGTCGCAGGGAGAGCAACATCCTGGCGATGGATAATGCTGTATGCGCTATCGAATTACGGACTAATTAAACCTAAGTAGCTCTAATCGTAAGCGCATCCGCACTGTGCTTATGTAACGCATTCTGATTGAAGATGCGCGTACTTAAGATCCTTCGCAGCTACTTACTAATCCATATCCGGATAATTCCTCCCATCGATCATCCTTGAGAATCGGGCCTTGAGAATTTGCACCGTCATCCTCCGCTCGTATCGGATTTTATCTCGTTTTCGAACGATCATCGTTTCGAAGTGAAAGTGGAAAGTGAAAATTTATAAATTCTTAGATATGTCATCAGATTTAATCTTTACACAAAAATATTTTTAATTCTCTCGTTTTCAATTATGCCCAACTCTTAGGGGCACGTTGAGGTAAAGATATTTCAAAATTCCAATCAAGACAATGTCTCGTATATACTCGAAGAGAAATCGAGGAATCCAGAGATTTTTCTAAATTTTTAATATTCTATAATGTTCAATCCATAGCATTTTCCATATTCGATCGATTAATAATTTCGAACATCATTCAAGACATTTTTTTCGAAATTTCAATCAAAAAGGCAAAGTCTCAAACCTCGACGAGAATCCACGCGGAGATTTTTCTAAATTTTAAATATCCTAGAATCCAAAATGTTTAATCCATAGAATTTTCCATATTCGACTCCCTATTAATAATCCATTTCGGTACGATCATTCAAGATATTTCGAAATTTCAATTAGAACAAAGTCTCGTACACTCAAATCTCGACGCGGAGATTTTTCTAAATTTTTAATATCCTAGAATCCAAAATGTTTAATCCATAGAATTTTCCATATTCGACTCCCTATTAATAATCCATTTCGGTACGATCATTCAAGATATTTCGAAATTTCAATTAGAGCAAAGTCTCTATATTCTCGAACCTCGATGAGAATCCAAAATGTTTAAAATAATTCGCAACGATCGAAAATCGGCTGACACCCACGGCATTTTCCGTATTCGACGATCAATTCCCTATTAATAATCGATTTCGAAGATACGATCATTCGTGTTACGCGAATTTTTCGAGGGAACGGTTACCGGATACAGGCCAATTCGCCACGTTTCCACGCCAGTATGCTTCGTAAACCCTTACTTTGCATATTTATTACCGTCGACGGCGGGCCGTCCCATGGGTCGCATTCGAGTTTAAACGGCCGCTCCTTTCGTATTTGCCATCGACGAGGTACGGAGCGCGTGTCTCGATGAGCCATTATCGCGATGGCCGAGAAAAGATCGGGAGAAAAAAAGGAAGGAAAGGAAAGGAAAGGAAAGGAAAGGGTAAGGGTACGAGCGGAACAAGTACGATAAGGGATCGTTTCCTTTCGAGTTTGCCTTGTGTCACCTCCTTCCTTCTAGAGGGCCTCGTCTCCTCGCCTCGTCTTCCCTGCAACAGAGACAACGTGCGAACGAGTTGGAGTATAAACAGCTGGGAATTGTTTCGAGACAACCCCCCGACAGGGGGATATTATTACGGTATTTATTCGTTTCAACAAAAATTGTACCCCTCTTGAGAGGGATATGGATGGATCGATATTTTTAGAAAAGTTAATCAATATTGTCAAGGAGTGTATTAATTAAATTTGGGGCGAAGAAGAATACGATTTATCTTTCAATGCTTGCGAATTATACGTATTTTATTATAAGAATGGTATCAGGAAAAAAATTGCTCGAAACGTATTGCTTTTCTCTCTTTACTTGAAGAATTTAAAACTTGAAGAATGAAAATGAACAAGTGAGAGAAAAGAATTGTTCTCGTAAAAATTATGCAATATTCGATCACATACTTCCCATTTCCTTTCCACTCGAAAATCTAAAAAAAAAAAAAAAAAAGAAATAAAATAATCGAACGATCTACCTTTCCCATAAAGATATGAAAAATTCGATCGAATCAAATTCAAAGTTCCCCAAACCTCCTCCGAAAGTCGCCTTTCTCTCTTTATCTCTCTCTCCTCTCTCTCCTCCTCCTTTCATTTCCACTCGAAAATCTCGAAGCAAGGAAGGGAGGCGAAGCAAAACGAGCAAAACTTTACGTATCCTTGTACGATTTGTCCAGGATCGACCCCCGTAAACCTTGGACTCCACTTCGCCTATTATTACGTCTCGTAATAACGTTGGCCAGCCATCTCTGAAAGCAGCAGCGCCTCATTTAATAAGAGCAAGAAAGTCCCCCCCCTCCTACCTACTCGCGCACCTACAAAGCCAGACCTGTTTACCGTCGCGGTGTACTGCAATTATAATTATAATGCCATTGTTTTCGCAAGCGTGGGTGCACGACGATGGCTCGCGAGCACCTTCTCCTCCCCTCCCCCTCTCGTCGCGTTCTCGCGACGAGAATCGCGGCGACGACTACGACGATGACGACTACGACGACTACGACGACGACGACGACGACGACGACGACGAAGGTTGGAGAAACCGATGTCGAATTAGCAAATCAAATTTCCCCGGGAATTATTTCAGCGCGAGCTGCTAAACAGCCCGCGGCGCGGCGACAAGGCCGCGTGCAGGATGGAAGCGTGGAAGGAAAGCGTGGTGAATTTAATTCGAATTGGTGGAAAAAGAAAATAAAGAGCAACGGAGCGTGAGCGAGGGTGCGGGCAAATTCTAAACCCGGCTTCCTTTCGCCTCCCTCCGCTCCCTCCGGCAAATTTTCATTAACGTAATTAATCGACCGCGCGATCCACCCGTTGTTGTTTGTCCGCGGACAGGGAGGCGGAAGGATGTCGCGCGAAGGGACATCCTTCGCGCGGATTCTTGTGGGGAATTTCGTTGGGATTTTTCTTTTTTTTTTTTTTTGTCAGATTCTTCTTTCGTCGGAAATTTTCTCGAATTTTTTTCTCGAATTTGTCATATTGGAATCGAATTCCATCGAAAATTTTATCGATAAATCGTCCAATTTTGAGGAATTTTGACGAATTTTTTGTGAATTTTATCGTATCGAATTCTGTCAAATTTTGTCAAATTTTATCGAATTTTATTGAATTCTATTGAATTTTATCGAATTCCGTCAAATTTTATTCAATTCCATCAAAAATTTTATCGAATTCGATAAATCGTCGAATATTGACGAATTTTGAATTTTTTGTGAATTTTATCGTATTCGAATTCTATCGAATTCTGTTGAATTTTGTCAAATTTTATCGAGTTTTATTGAACTGCCTCGAATTCTGTTGAATTTTATCGAATTCTGTCAAATTTTATTCAATTCCATCGAAAATTTTATCGAATTCGATAAATTGTCGAATTTTGAGAAATTTTGAATTTTTTGTGAATTTTATCGTATTCGAATTCTGTCAAATTCTGTCGAATTTTGTCAAATTTTATCGAGTTTTATTGAATTGCCTCGAATTCTTGAATTTTATCGAATTTTGTCAAATTTTATTCCATCGAAAATTTTATCGAATTCGATAAATCGTCAAATTTTGACGAATTTTGAATTTTTTGTGAATTTTATCGTATTCGAATTCTGTCAAATTCTATCGAATTTTGTCAAATTTTATCGAATTTTATTGAATTGCCTCGAATTCTGTTAAATTTTATCGAATTTTGTCGAATTCTGTCAAATATTGATCGATTTTTGAGTCGAATACGGAAAAATATTATGTAAAAAAAAATATATATATATAAAGTGATAAAAGGAGAGAATTAATGACGATGAATCGTATAAAAAGAGCATCATCCTATAGTACGGATCATGGAAATGTTCCTTGAATGGAAATGGTCAAAGTTTCTATCGGATTAACGGAATTAATATGCGGACATTTTACACCGGACCGGTGAATCACCGGTTGAAAATGCAGGCCTATTTACTTTCTGACACGTGAGATTACGCCTAGACCCGTATTACGTCGATTACAAAGACGTTCATGAATATTTAAATAGGGATAGTGCAGTTCAATATCTCACGATGCGAACTGATGCGCCTGAATAGATAATGACGCCTACAATTTTCGTCCACCCGGACGAAACGTTACGTGCGGACATGACTTTACGAAAACGATTTCCATTCTCAATTTTCCGCTATATCTCCACGCGAATATTTTCCACGAGCCAAGCGAATTTTTTCCCTTGGAGACACGAAGGCGATACCCATTCTAACGACGGTAAACAATTTTCCGTATTTCGAGTCTTCATAGTCTTCGTAGTATTTATATATCGATATATATCGACATATATCTCTTAGAATTAGAATATCTCTTAGAATTAAAATATTTCCGATTAATTTTTTGAAGAGAAAGATCGAATCGAATTTTTGAATATTTTTATGAAAATTAAATTGAAATTGAAAAAATAGGAGAAAATATCAATTGGGAAATATTTTAATTTTTTAAACTCGACAATTAATGATTGTTGAAATTAAAATTGTTCTTTTTATCGTATTATAATAGCCATGGATGTTTCTTTTAGAATTATTACTCGAATTGATTGTTAAAAAGTTTCGAAAAATTTTTATGCAAAATTGGTAGCGATTTTTTTTTTTTTTTTTTTTTTTT